GATTTACCGGCATTCTGACGCCTCTTAACGACCCGATCTGCCCTCCTCAGTTGCCGACCATTTTGGCTGCCAAATTACATTACAGAGAGAAAACGGCTGTCTCAGGGAAAACGGGAACAGCCACTGGGAAGGGGAGAATGGAGGAAGAAGAGGAGGAGAGGGGGGGGGGTGTTACTAGTGAAAAAAGGGAGGGTAGATGTAATGCGGAAAGAGAGAAGGGAGAGTTAGTATAACGCAAATAGAAAAGAATGGGCGCATTATTATCATTATTATTATTATTATTATTATTATTATTATCATTATAAGTAGTAGTATCATTTTCATTGTCATCATCATTACTATTATTACAATTATTATTTCTACAATCATCATCATTATCACTATCCTTATTATTATTATTATTATTATTGTTATTATTATTGTTATTATTATTTTTTTAGTTATTATTATTATTTATCATTATTATTATCATCATTATCATTATTATTATATTGATATAACACAGGTAGAAATGGCGAGAGAAAATGAAATGCAGGTACAAAAGGGAAAATAAATACACAAAAAAAGGCAGATTCATCGAAGATATGAAAAAGGAGAGTAAATATAATGTAGGTAAACAAATAATCTAAGAAGACCGGTCATGCAGAAGACTAAGGCTTCGGGGAAAGATGTACGGGATAAAAACTAAACAAAACGAACGACCACATCAGCATCATGATAATGACGATAGTAATGAAAATAATAATGATGGTAATAACAATGATAATAATGATTATTATTATAATAAACAATAATAATAATTATAATAATGACAATAATAACAATAATGATGATGATAATAATGATAATAATGATAATAATAATAATAATAATAATAATAAAAATGATAATAATAATAATGATAATAATAATAATAATGATAATAATAATAATAATAATGATAATAATAATAATAATAATAATAATAACTGTAGCAGCAACAACAACAACGACAAACAATAACAACAACAATGATAAGTGATAATAGCAATGATAATATCAATGAAAATAACGATAATGATTATGATACTGATGATACTGATAATGATAACATGAATTATAATAACAATAACAATAATAATAATAATAATAATAATAATAATAATAATAATAATAATAATAATAATAACAATAATAATAATAATAATAATAATGATGATAATAATAATAATAATAATAATAATAATAATAATAATAATAATAATAATAATAATGATGATAATAGTAATAATAATAACAGTAATAATGACAATAATTGGAATAATAATAATAATGATAATAATAATAATAATAATAACAATAGCATTAAGGATAGTAATAACAATGATAATGATGATGATAATAATAATACTAATATTAATATCAACATTAATAAAAAAGATAAAAGAATAAAAATAACAATATTAATAAACATGATATCAATGATAACAATGAAGACAATAATAATGATAATAATAATAATATTAATAACAACAACAATACCAGAAGAATGATAAAAAAGGATGATAATAATAATGACAATAGTAATCATAATAATGATAATGATAATGATAATGATTCACTATATAATGGATATCATCATCGCCATAAATGATATCTAACAAGTAGCATTATCATTATTGTTTTGAGGATGATTACTATAATAGTAATGATGATGAAGATGACGAAGATGTTAATGATAATCATGCTAATGATTATGATGATATCAATGATGATGATAACGATAATTATCATTACTATTGCTCTCATTATTATCTATAATGTTCTTCTCATTATTATTATCATTATTTTTTTTCTTTTTGTTATTACTATTATTAATATTATAATCATTTTTTGTTATTACTGTTATTGTTGTCTTTATTACCATTACTATTATTATCACTACCATTACCATCTTTGTAATGATTTTCATTATCATTATTATCACCATGATTACAATAATTATTATTATCATAATTGCTATTATTATTATCATTTTCATTATTTTTATTGATATTATTATCGTTATTATTATCATCACTAGTGTTATTATCGTTAGTGTTATCACTGTCATGAGCATCATTATCTATCATTATTATCATCATTATTATAGTTATTATTACTATTATCATTGCTGTTTTATCCTTATTACTATTATTATTATTATCAATTTTACTACTATTAATATCATTATTATTATTATCATTGCCATTCTTATCATAATTATCTTCATCACCATCGCCCTCACTATTATTATCATTACTATCGTTATCATTATTGTTATCATTATTATCATCATTATTATGTTTTTCATCGTTATTATCAATAGTATTGCTATTATTGTTTTTATTACTATTATTATTATCATTGATTATTGTTGATATTATTATTATTATTATTATTATTATTATTATTATTATTATTATTATTATCATTATTATTATTATTACTATTATAATTATTATTATTATTGTTATTATTATCATTATTATCATTATTATAAGTAGTAGTATCATTTTCATTGTCATCATCATTACTATTATTTCAATTATTATTTCTACAATCATCATCATTATCACTATCCTTATTATTATTATTATTGTTATTATTATTGTTATTATTATTATTTATTATTATTATTATTATCATCATTATCATTATTATTACCATTAACACTATTATCATCATCATCATTGTTATTATCATTGTCATTATTATTATTATCATTATCATGAACATCATTACTATCACTGTTATTACCATCATCATTATCGTCATATTATCATTATTGCCATTATTATTATTGTCATAATAATGACAGAAATAATCATAATGATGATGATGATGATAATGATAATGATAAAATTAATAGTAATAATAATAATAATAATGATGATAATAATAATAATAATAATAATAATAATGATAATAATAATGATACGAATAATGATAGCGATAATAATAATGATGATAACGATAACAATAATAATAATAATGATAATAATACTATTGATAATAATACAAATGATGACAGCAACAATAACAACAACAAAAGTGATAATAATAATAATGATAATAATAATGATAATAATAATAATAATAATAATAATAATAACAATAATATCAATAATAGTGATAAAGATTACTATCGCCATTCAGGGGAGCCGCAAAATTTACCAAAATTTACCTGCAATCTGCATATAATTTTGAATTTACTAGAAATGATTAAGCGTATAGTATGTTTGCACGTGTGTATGGATGTTGTATATGCATATATTTATGAATGATTGTTCCCTGTTTTCTATTAATTTTATTCGATAACAATAATAATAATAATATAATAATAATAATAATGATAATAATAATGATACGAATAATGATAGCGATAATAATAATGATACGAATAATGATAGCGATAATAATAATGATACGAATAATGATAGCGATAATAATAATGATACGAATAATGATAGCGATAATAATAATGATACGAATAATGAAAGCGATAATAATAATGATAATAATAATAATGATAATAATAATGATACGAATAATGATAGCGATAATAATAATGATGATAACGATAACAATAATACTAATAATGATACGAATAATGATAGCTATAATAATAATGATACGAATAATGATAGCGATAATAATAATGATACGAATAATGATAGCGATAATAATAATGATACGAATAATGATAGCGATAATAATAATGATACGAATAATGATAGCGATAATAATAATGATAATAATAATGATACGAATAATGATAGCGATAATAATAATGATACGAATAATGATAGCGATATTTATTGTGGATCATTTTTATTATCATGATTATCCCTAATCTTTATATTCGTTATTTTAACAGAAAATGTAAGAATGCTCTTCTTAGTCATAACAATTATCTTCTCGCTGTCATTATGCTCCCTTGTGGGATGACTGATCCAAAGTCCAGTGAGACAATATTTACGTAGGTAATAAGCCTATGCCAGGGATAAATCCACCAACTTATCCCTCTCCCTCTCTTCCTTTCTCTAATTCCTTCCTTCTTCATTTCGCTTCGGTCTTAGATTCGTTTGTAATCTCCCAGTCTCGCTTCCCCTTCCTGTCCTTCGCTTCTCCTCCAATGTTGCTCTGTCTCGGTATTTCATGGCTCGCTGGCTCACCACATGGCCTCCTCTTCATCCTCTTAAAGCATACGAGACATCATGGCTCCCGGAAAATACTTGAGGCTCAACCAAAACCACTCAGGAATTCTTGAACGTTGCTAAATCTAAATACGAAAGAGATTCTATATTTTACCTTGCCACGAGGCTCACTCCGAAGGGTGCCATGGGAATATCATCCCTTTAGCCCAGTGCCGATAAGGATCAAATTCCCCTCCAAACGCGGCCTAATACCCTAAGTTCCTCGGGCTCCGTCACCGTAAATAAAACTCGCCGGGATACGCTTGGAAAATGGCTGAATAAATACTCATAGCTTGGGTTTGTATCATACCCGAGGAGGAGCCGCGCCGTGCATCGTGATGAGTTAAAGTTCAGCTCTGTCTTCGTCCCTCCTCGCCCTGCCCTGTCCCTACCCCCCTTCCCCTCTGGCGCTCAGGTGACCCCCCCCCTCCAAACTTTCTCTACAGAATGCCTGACTCTGTTTGTCAACACTTGCATGCTGGATCCTCACTCCATCCATTCTCCCACCACCTAATTTTCTCTTGAAATGGCAAGTCCCGCCACCCAATAAAACTACCACCTGCAGCATCAACCAAATCCTGCACGACATCTTGATAAACCATTGATATCATAAATACCAAATAAGACCTTTAGTAGAGATTTACACAAGAAATTTAATACATGTAAAAAAAATCACTCTCTAGATTTACACATGCAAATGGATATATCTAAAACACGAAAAAAAAACGAAACGAAACGAAACGCTTATTTTCCTTGACTGACAACGAAAGAGGAGCGAAGTACCTGCACTCTGGCTTCCGAGAGACCCAGCCGCTGCGACAGCTCCTCCCTCATGAAGGCGTCCGGGTAGTGGGTCTCGTCAAAGAGCCGCTCCAGTTCGTTCAGCTGCTCGAGCGTGAAGTTTGTACGTGACCGCCGCTGTTTCACCTGGGCAGGAGAGATGTAAAGTGAGGAAGAAAACGGGGAGCATGACGTGAAATACGGTTGGAATAGACGTAATGCGATAAGGGATAAGGAATAGGTGTAATGAAACCGGTTCAGGAACTACAAGAAAGGACATGCGTAGTTCCCGAGGGCCATCGATCTTCATCACGTCAGTATAAAGCCAAGACGTCCAAACGGGAAGCAAATCAAACCGTGAGCCTCGAGTCGCGGGGCCAAGAACCGAAGAGCCGGCTCCGCCTCTTTACACCAAAGGGAAAACCTCCTGCAGAGCCTTACCTTCTGGTGGGAAGATTCTTCGCGTGTCTCGTGCTCTCTCTTCCCTTGGCTGGGCTGGGTCATGGGCGTGGGTGTCTGTGAAGGGGTTGTGGGCGTGGGGGTGCTGACGGCTGTGGGCGTGGACTGGGCCGGGTTGTCATCCTCTACTTTGACGTTCAGTCCTGCTGTGGTGGAAAGAAAGGCATTAGACAACTGACACAT